CTAGACCCATTGTGATCTTAGCAAGACAAAAAAGCTCTGACCAGAATGGCTGAGAAAACATTTTCTAACAACTGCCAGAGCACTCTCAAAGGTGGCATAGAGGTTCAAGTGCCTCGAGCAGCCCCGCAAGTGCATCTGCGATAAGATCTGAATCGCTATCCACTGTGAATACAGTAAAAGCTCGTTATTCGCGTTTCCTTAACTCGAGTTTTCATTATTCGCGGATTAAAAAAATGCGCCCCTATTCCTATATTCGCGGCTAAAGATTTCTTTATTCGCGGATGTAATATATAGGTATCCTAACCGAATATCCTTCGTAAACGCGCTTTTCCATATCCACGGTTTCTGTATTCGCGGCCTGTTTATGGAACATATACTACGCGAATGAGGAACTTTTACTGTATATGCAGCACCCAAAACCATGCCTTGGGTTCGCCAGCGAATAGTAATTTAGAAATAAACGGGAGTTCACCTTTTTTAATGTCTTCATGTATCTTGACTAGAGCTGATAGTTTTCTGAATGTTGATCTTTCTGTTGTTTTGTTGTAGTCTTTAAAAGTGAATGTCTGAATTATATTGTTTGAGTTGGCTTGGTTGTTTTCATTCTCCATTTTATGATCGAAAATAATTTGATTTATGTTTAGTATCAATAATAGCTATGTTTGAGTTTTTGCTTAGTATTTTGGCTGCATTTTAATTATGTGTTGACAATAGCGGAGAATAAAATCTGGTCCATAATTCTTATGAAGTTACCCAAATTTGTGTATTATTCATTTTCATCAAAACAGATTTTGTTAGTTCAAATATTAAGATAAGTGTTCATTATAATTTTGTATTTTCATCAAAAAGTACTATTGCTTTGCCTGTTGCATTTTGATTAATTTGTTCATTTACTTGAACTATTGAAAACTACTGACAAATAATTGCATTTTACTGACAATATCGCAAATTGAAGTGTGAATTGATTTCTGACAAATTGATCTATTATCTACGACTATCATATACCGGCTATCACAGAGACGACACATATAACAATTATACTGTTAAATCTCGTGTTTATTTTACGAAGTATCTGATCGTAACTGATTTAAAAACCAATGCGTCGAATTTTGATATATTGAACCAGTGATTAAATGATCATTTAAATTGTACCTAACAATGGTTGAAGTCAAGATTAAACTCTTTTTTATCATTCCTTAATTCGGTATAACTGAAAAACAAATTCACAGATTGAAGAGAAAAAAACAATACCCAAACTAAAATACAAGTAATTAATTCCGTGCTGTGTTGTATAAATAGTTCATTAATTAGTTAGTTAATGTTAAGCCGGTAAGAGCAATGGCATCTATCATCGAATAGCAGAAACGAATATCAAAAGAACTAGTAAAATCAAGAACGCTCGAGAAGTGCAACGCCATCTATTATCAAATAGCGGAAACACATATTGAAACTATTCGACTTGTCAGGAATGCTCTCTATAGTTCTAGGGATATCGTATTGACTATAAAAGCGTTGCAGAGATACAAGGGAAGCAGTTAGTAATCGGAACTACTCGAAGCGTAACAGCGAACGGATCACCTGAAGCGAAGTGGAAGAAGTGAATTGAGAATTTTAAAGCTTTCCTAAATAAAGTGTTATAAGTGTTAATACATTTTTAATTTGTACGTCAGTAGAATTTTTATCCCGAACCACAGCGCGTAACATTATGTTATATGTAGGAGGAAAAGATAAGGAAAGAGGCCAAAGGGGCGTAGTTCCATGCGTTGGCCCGATCAAATTAAGACGATATTAGATTCTAACATCAATGTCGCTATCCAATGCGCAGAGGTCAGGAATGAATGGAGCAAATAGTCCGAACAAAAGTACTCCGTAAAGGTCACGGCCCTCAGCACTGAGGTGCACGATGCCAGGAGGAGCAGGATGTTATTTATATATGTATATCCATAACGTATTATTATATGCGTAATGCGAGAATCAATGAATCAGATAATTATTAATAACTAAACTATTGACTCCCATACGGAATGTTACTAATGCAGAAGTAAGGATAACCAAACACTCGACCAACAAGGATATCAAGACATTTTTACAATTAAGTACAATGATAAAATTTCACAAATTAAAAGAACTGTTTACCTCGATTGTGGAAGCCACAAAAAGTCATAACAGCTCAAATACTCATGTCTACTACGGCAGTATTACCTAAAAAGCTATATCAATCCCAGAAAACTCAGTATACATATACTACAAAAAGTCTGAAACTCTTCAAAGACATTTTGTACTGCCTCTCTGGTATTTAATTTTTTAATTGCCTATTGTAGCTTAGAGACCGTCTGTAATACCATATGGAGCTGAGCATTCTCGAATACGAGCAGTAGGGATGAGCAATTAATCAAGGCTGGCCGGAGAATCGCGAACTTCTCCGCCATTGTGTCCTGTTCCTTAGAGTACATATGTGCAATAATGCTGATACTATTTGGTAAGAAGCTGTGATTAATCATACCGGTACCAAACAGTGACCAGTTTTAGGCGTAAATTTTCGTCAGGGGCGTTACATATGTAGGTTCGGAACCAAAGTGTAAACATGATGGCCGCTTATCAAGTTTACTGACCTTGCCAATTTTGCGTAAATTGATAAATATTGTTTTGATACTAACGTTGACAGCTTCTACAGACCTAGCTATACATTGGTTATCAGCAGCTTCCTCTATTGCCTTTAATTCATCGTTATTGACTTTAATTTTCGCGCGATGACAAGGTTCATTTTTTAGTGTGTTCAAATCAATATCGAGTCGTTCACTCGTTTGTTCTTTCACTCCGTACACATCATTAATGTTGTGAGTCATTTGTACGGCGTTACTACCGCGACGGAACTATTGTTCCATAATTACTCGTATTTTTATCTTTTCCATATTAGTGAAAAAAAACAAAATGTCAAACAAAAGACTGAATTCTAACAAAAAATCATTTCAAAGCCTTAGATAAATAACTTTTCAAATGGCCAGTATTGTAAGATTTCGGAGGTAATAAATAAATCCGTTCTTTACGGATTATGTTCCTATATTGAGCACATATTTTAATTAATTAAAAAATATAGTTCGAAGTGTATGAAGGTCGCAATAAATTCAACTAACGAGTGACAAGTTCCCCCGAAGAGGGGTCACAATTAAAAAGATAAACGCGTATAAAGACCAAGGCGAGGTGACACTTGGGTGGCGAGGGCGCCTCGTGGTTCGGGGACCACTCCCTGGTTAGCAGCGGGCTACCGACACATCCGTCGAGCCTTACCAATTGTTCTATTCTCGAATAATTTCTCAAATATCCTACCCTCAAACCTGCGAATTTATTTTGGGTTTTCGTAATAATTTCTAAAGAATGAAATGCCTTATTAATATTGTTATTAGTTTGGTTTTTATGTTTATTTTGGCTATTGTAACTAATTGCGATTAAATATTAACTTTACGTATTAGGATCCATGGAATAATTATTGAATTTCAATGAAAAGAAGAAGGATGTTCTCGATTCGGACTTTAAATTCTACTTTACCTTATTTAGACTTAGTAGATTGATCAAAATACCCAAAGGTAATATTATGAATTTCTGATTGCCTTATCTAACAATTTTCAATGCAAAATGTCATGATTGTTTTTATCGTTTAATGCTAAAAAAACTACAAATTTCATACGTAAATTAAATTTTACAGGTTAACGAATGTTGTTTCGAGAAAAGTTGGTACTTAATCTCATTAGAGGGGAGTGCATGGCGAGACAAGGGCGACCGTCGAGGCGTTTACTGAAAATATCTGATTACATGTAATTATCGAGCGCTCCTGCCTCTTAGCGCAGGCGGACTTATTGAAACCGGTACCGAGGATAAGGATTCGAAATTGAAAATTTAATTAAAGCTGTTCTTGAATGTTCGATTGAAATTAAATTTGTTTGTATGAATAATATATAGTAATACTAACAACAATAATAGCACGTGATCCAGATTTGGCTTTTTGTTTTTTTTAAATCATGTAGTTTGGAAATGCTCAATTTAAACTACTGGTGGTAGGACCTCTTGTGAGTCCGCGCGGGTGGGTACCACCGCCCTGCCTGTTTCTGCCGTGAAGCAGTAATGCGTTTCGGTTTGAAGGGTGGGGCAGCCACTGAGATCTTAGAACTTATATCTCAAGGTGGGTGGCGCATTTACGTTGCAGATGTCTATGGGCTCCAGTAACCACTTAACACCAAGTGGGCTGTGAGATCGTTCACCGATCAAAGCAACCAAAAAAAAATTTTTTTTTGGGTAAATAATATTTGGCGGCATTTTGAGTGACGGGATGTTATTAATAGAAATTTAAACAAAATTACGCAAAAAAATTGTACAAATCAACTTAGGCGTTAGGCTGTACAACAGTTAGATAGGCCATAAGTTGTAAAGATGTTTTAAATTTAGTTTGAACTTTATTAAATTGATTATAAAGAGAAAAAAACAAGAATGAGGTTTTATTACATAACTGAATACAATAATGACTGATAATCCAATGTCTGTAAACTGTCAAAGATTATGTAGATATTCAATAAAATTTTTGGAAAGTACCAATAAATTCTTGTTATTAATGTGAAATTCCAGTCTATAACTAACCAAAGTGGCACGTAAGGACGCGAGATTTCAAATATGGGAGGTAAAATGCTTAAAAGAAGGTCAAAGGATATTTGTAAAGAGCTTAGACACCAAGGGCGGTAAGTTTAGAATTTTAGCTTGAATTTTCTGAGTTTTTTTCCAGTATTTAGTGTCTTTTTTAAGTTTTAGACTTTTGTGACTCTTATCGCATTTTATTATAGTTCGTATATAAGAAAAACTAAATGTAAAATCAAATTCTTCTATACTTGTTCTTATCTTATCTTCTTTACTAAATTATTCTATAGTTATTTCTATATTATAATAGCGCCTCTAAAATAAGTCATTATTTCATATTTTTAGCTATCAACGTATGCAAAGAACGTCACAGTGCAATGGATGTGATAGTGGAGGGTACCCGTACAATGCAAGTAGAAAAACTACTAAGAGAAAGAGACATATCCTTCGATGTGGTGACGAATGATATTACGTCACTAGTGGGTCCGCCTCGTCGTGTCCGAAGTCCTGTGTTGTCACCGCGTATGCGTTCACCAATTAGTGGGTTTTTTAACTGTTATTATTTTTATTTTAAGTTTTTAATTTGAATCGGTTGACATCTTATTTTCGTTCTTTTTTAATATGCATAAGCAACATTTCACTAGATTTAGATATGTTCACATTTACAACATACCCTTTATTACTTTTGGATCACTCCATTTCCATTCCATGTTTGATTGAGATGACAATACGCGGCGATTTTTTTATTTAAGAGAATTCTTTTTCAGTGGGACAAAAGAGATTTGTTTTTTGGTCAACGCATATGTATGTAAATTACTTTTCTTGAATTTACTTTTGCTGGTGGTAGGACGTCTTATGAGTCCGCACGGGTATGTACCACCACCTTGCCTATTTATGCCGTGAAGCAGTAATGAGTTCCGGCTTGAAGGGTGGGGCTGCCGTTGTACTGTGAAAACTGAGGCCTTAGAACTTATGTCTCGAGGTGGGTGGTGGCATTTACGTTGTAGGTGCCTATGGCCTTCGGTAGCCATTTAACACCAGGTGAGCCGTAAGCTCGTCTACCCATCTAAGCAAAAAAATAATAATATAAACTGCTGTTTTATTTTTAACGAAGTCGCTTTTGACCACGAAATGTTAAATAATCGAAGCGCTGTAATGTTATGAAATAATAATTTAAAATAAACAATAGTTTAAAAAAAACAAAAAATACGCTTTTATACAAAATCAAACTAAAAAATAGAAAAAAATATTTTATTGTTAAAAAAGCATGGGTGCTTTTCAGGATATTATTACAATAACCCTTCTACTCATATCTGTTCATAAAATATTTATAACTACTGATACCAGGCACCCCACGCTTTTTTTACAATAAAATCATTTTTTTTACACTATTTTTAATTCAAATTTATTAAAATTTATTTTCTATTTTATGTTGGATTTTCTATAAAAGCGCTTTTTTCTTATTTAAAAAAAAATAATTGTTTTTCAAAAATTTCATCTAAATCAGTCAGTAAGTTATTCGAAAAATAGGTGATCGGCGCGCCTGGTAGTTTCCCTTCTTGGTCTTGACGCAGACACTCCGGGTTTCACGCAAAAAATCGCTAATCCTGATTATCCTTGTAAGGATAGTGGATCAAAATATTAAATTAACATCGGTCCGTAATGCTAAATCTCGAGTTAATCCGACGTTTTGAAGGGAGTCAAAATCATGTTCAAAGATTCCGTTGCATACTAACTAACATACGTCTGAAGCTAATAAAAGCGTATTAAAAAGCGGGATTGAGCCTCTAAATTAGTTTTAAATGTCCACGACTCGAGAAAACCGAAGAAAACACTATTGTATAATATTTTTAAGGCGAACTTAAGCGATATTTAATCTTAATCCAGTTTATTAAATAAAATAAGTAAGCTCTTGATAAATTTCAGAAAAAAGTCTCGACTGGAAAGATTTTTACCCTTTGAATGTTATTTACGATTTCCTCGATGCATTAGAGCGCCAATACCCGTCGATTTGCACGGTAACCGTTATTGGCAATACAGTGGAAGGCAGGGATGTCAAGGTTAGATACTAGATACTTTAAATTTTAATATAGTGCGCTCGACGTTAGAAGCACACCGTCGATTCACGTTTTTGAGAAATTATTTTTTCCCCGGATTCGTTTTTTTATTTTTTTATTCCTTAAATGGGTGGACGAGCTCACAGCCCACCTGATGTTAAGTGGTTACTGGAGCCCATAGACATCTACAACGTAAATGCGCCACCCACCTTGAGCTATAAGTTCTAAGGTCTCAAGTATAGTTACAGCGGCTGCCCTACCCTTCAAACCGAAGCGCATTACTGCTTCACGGCAGAAATAGGCAGGGTGGTGGTACCTACCCGTGCGGACTCGCAAGAGGTCCTACCACCAGTAATTACGCAAATTATAATTTTGTGGGTTTGATTTTTATTACACGATGTTATTCCTTCACCGTGGAAGTCAATCGTGAACATTTGTTGAGTACGTATTTTATTAGAAAAATTGGTACCCGCCTGCGGGATTCGAACACCGGTGCATCGCTTCAACACGAATGCCTCGGACGGCTTATCCTTTAGTCCACGACGACATCAAACTTTGTTTGTAGGTGTTAATTTTCATTTTCACAATTTATAGAACCAGACGTGCCCAGCGGTTTCTATAGAATCTGTAATTTGTTCAGCTGCTTCTGTCAGTCTTTAGTTAACGAACTACAACGTAATATTATGAATCAGCAAACACACAGTAATATCTGATAGAGCAGACATACTTAACGTTGCGCGATTCATTTTATTAACCATCAAAGAAAGTATCGCACCTTTTAATTCTAGCTGAACTTTCACATATACTTTATTTAATCTTGTTTTAAACATATTCAAATAAATATTTTTAATGTATTAGGAGCAACTATAAATTACAAAGTTGATAATAAAGATTGTCTAACATTGTCTCTACGAAAAATAATTTGTATATCCAAAAGCGATTGTAAAACATTATACTGCTTGAAATATAATTATATTTTTATCACCGAAATTAATCGGAAACATGATCGCACCGTATCATACAGATTAATAATTATTAAAGCTACCAATCACGTTGAAGCATGAGATCAAAGTCTCAGTTGTAAATAAGTTTTACCTCTCTTTAAATCACAATGCATAACTGCTTTGCGATAGAAATCTTCATCATGAAATTACGTGCCTATTCACAAAACGCTCGACCACGAAGGATTACGCAAAATTTGGATAGTTTCATTTTTACTAAAACTATTTATTTGTTGCGGAAATCGTTTGTATGTTTTTTATTTATTTTTTTATTGCCTAGATATGTGGACGAGCTCACAGCCCACCTGGTGTTAAGTGGTTACTGGAACCCATAGACATCTACAACGTAAATGCGCCACACACCTTGAGATATAAGTTCTAAGATCTCAGTATAGTTACAACGGCCGCCCCACTCTTCAAACCGAAACGCATTACTGCTTCACGGCAGAAATAGGCAGGGTGGTGGTACCTACCCGTGCGGACTCACAAGAGGTCCTACCACCAGTAAACTCACAAGAGGTCCTACCATGTTAAGTGTAGTAACGTATTTACTTAAAAAAATTGATACTTGTCATCAGGATCTGGCGTCTCCAGCTTCGATTGACCTACGAATAATATTAAATACACCACTATTGAAACCATGTTTGATTAATGTTCTAGATGTTGAAAATTTCAAATAGTAACGCTAGAAATACAGCTGTTTGGCTGGACGGGACAATACACGCTAGAGAGTGGATCAGTACGTCAGTCGTAACGTACATAGCCGATCATATCGCTAGAAGTTTTAATACGTTACCTGATTATATTACTAATAAGGACTGGTGAGTGTCTTATATCCGTTTTTAAAAACTGTCGAAACGGCCCTTTGTGCCTTTGAATAAACACAAGTTACAGCTCGTGTATCGCAAGTGGTAAAGTGAAAAAAATGATATCTGAAAACGTAATGTGAATGAAGCATTTTCAGAAGTTACTCTGCTTCGGTAGTGGTTGGTGGGATGGTAATGATTACAGGATAAACTTCAATAATTTTCCAGACCACTCTCCAAAGAACATGCGGTACAGAACTAAAATAATGTAATGCATTTCGACAATTAACCAACGTTGTTGGTCTAATAGAATCATCACACGTATCTGTCAATTTAGCAGCAAATTTGTCACCGTGCTTGTAGCTCAGAGACACAGACTTAAAAACAATAATTCGTTATTCGAATATTGTTTTTAAACCGCCGCTTATTTCGTACCATGGTTGACTTGAATTTAAAAAACTGTTTATTGGTCACGTCATAGCAGCTTAGGTGAAATAAAAATTCGTCTAATTGGTTTTAATAATACCACCGTAGAGTTGTTGGATTTTTGTTTTCTTGTTCGGCACTTTGCCAATTTAAAAGGGGAGTCTTTAATATGTTGTTTTGTGTTTTATATGCTTGTTTTATATTGTGCTTGATTTTTGTAGGTTTTTCGTTCCTGTGGTAAATCCGGACGGCTACTATCATACGCATACGGTCGATCGAATGTGGCGAAAAAATAGAGCTCGATTTGGAAATACCATTACTGGTGTTGATTTGAATAGAAATTTCGGGTTAGTTTACAAAAATGATACTATTATAGTATTTTAAAATGCATAATTATCCGAATAATTGCATCTGCTATTTGGTTGTGTAGAATGAAAACCTAAAGAATATAAAAATAAAATAGATATTTTTAAATAAAAACCTGTTATTGTGTCTCAAAATGTCTCTTTTTCCATCTATGGTTTGGCTTCTTTAACTGATTTTTTGAAGTGTTTTAAAACATTCAAATTTTATTTGCATAAGTGGTATACGACTTAGACATTGAATCAAACCGTAGTTATTGAGCTAACAATAGCACTCATGTCAAATACTTTTAAATGTAGTGCGTCCAGAAATACCGCATATAGCGTATGGTTTACATACCTATTTATGGATGATGCACTACATAAACCTGATAAAAACCTTATGAGATATTTAATTATTTTTGCCTCTGCTAAAAAGTAAACAAAGGTTACTTGAGAAGTATTGCTAGTTAGGCGACGTTATGTGTCAACAGTGACTGTCATGATGATGTAACAAACGCTATCGTATTCTTCTGATGTTGTGACGTTGTGATAGATGGTGAGTCTGTAAGTTGCGGTAGTATCGTGCGACCTATTCGCAATGTCGCTTCAATGCAATTGCGACTTTGACCTGTCCATTTGAGCTCGTCTACATCAATAACAATAATATGGATTAAAATTTTATTTGAAATTTGTATATATTTAGGTGCCCACGTAACAGCGTTCTTATTGTTTCATAGACTAAACTGGGGTAGGAATGGTAATACAGAATGTGCCTCGGGAGATCCGAACCATTTAAACTATCGCGGAACTGAAGCTTTTTCTGAACCAGAAACGGCAGCTATTAAGGTAAGAGAATCCAACGAATTTAATGGACGTCTTTGTATGTTCCTTATGCGTTCTTAAGCTATCTGTATATTTATGAAACTTGATAAAGTTGTTGCCACTTTAGGGAAGACTTCTGACGTAACATCAATACATGGTGGTGCGTGTGTAATTCCAATAAATGGGTGTCCCATCATTTTACTTGTGGTTGAGCATCTTACTGTAAGCCCTCACAAGTGTGAACTATTATTTCCATCACTTTATTTGCTTCATCTGTAACAGTACTATGACTTATGAAATTTTTATTGTTTCTTCTGACCATAGCATTATTTTTGTTGGTTCAGTACTGTGAAGAATATTTTTTCTAAGCTGGTTGTTTTTGGGTAACAGCGGTGTTTCTGTCATAAAAATTAGATACTATATATATGTTGAAAAGTTCATCATAATATCAACATCGAATTACTTCAGGACTAATTATAGGAGTGTAATGTGGTTTAATGAAAAAAGATTTGAATGTTTGAAAAGTATTTTTCTTTACTAATTAAATTTTTCTTTGTTCACAGGACATCATTTTGTATTCGGGGGTACCTTTCAAAATATTTCTAACATTTCACGCATACAGTGAACTAATATCATTCCCATGGTGCTATACCTCGGATCCTTGTCCGGATTACGTTAATTTATTGGAAGGAGGTACCGCCATGGCTAAGGTAACAATTGAATCATCTTATTCATGCACCCGCACAGAAAATTTACAAAAATAGGCTATCGATAAAAAAAAACTGTTAAGAATCACCAAGATTAGTAGCGTTCTCGCTAAGTTTGCTAGCATTTTGTATAATTACGTCATAGGTCAAGAACACGAAAGAAAATCTATAACCAACACTCGTGTAAAAAGGCAGCAATTAGTTTTTTATACATGCATTGAAGTTGGTTTATCTCGCTATCTCTTTCGCGCGTCTAATGTTAGGAGGGGTCGTCATAATTTCATAAGTTGCCTTTTCTGTTCGTTACTTGTCAACTAGCACCACCGGCCGAGTTGAAACATTTTAAATTAAGCATACAAAATGTATCTGAACACATTATTATATTTATTTGTCTTCTTCGACCTTTTAAATTGTATGCATTATAAATTGGAGATTGGAGATTATGTTCATTCATTGATTTGTTTTAGGCTATTTATGAGACGAGCGGCCGAATGTACAAAGTCGGTAATTTTAAAGACATCATGTATTACGCAAGTGGCACAAGCATAGATTGGAGCTACGGAACTGCTCGTATACCATTTACGTACCTAATCGAATTGAGAAGTAAAAAGGATAGATTTTTACTACCCAAAGAAGAAATTCAAGATTGCTGTAAAGAGGTGCTGAACGGGGTCAAGGCATTAGCCGAGTTCGTTGACAAAAAGAAATGTCGCAATTGCAATGTTCATTTCAAAAAGAACCCACAGTGATAAGGAAATGTGTGAAAATAGTATTTTGTTCAGAATAAAAGAAAACTATAAGACTTGATTATTTATTTTCAAAATCGATGCAATTTCTCAGATTACGATCACAATGATATCCAATTAATTATAATAATATTTTAATTATAATAATTTCATATATTACTGAAACTCGTTAGTAGAAAAGAAAATTGGGGCCGATTTAAGTTACTAAATACGAAACAGAAAGAATCGGGCGATTGGTAAGATACTCGTTGTATGTATTAGTATTAGTGGTAATAGCCACTCACAAAAATCTGGCCTGATCCTTATGGGCATAAGAAAGTTATCAGGTCAGTAAACGCTTGAACTCAAATGTCATAAAATATATTTGTTGAATGTCAAAAGGTGCTGTCTTTACATCGGGTTGCAACATTAGCCACAGACTTTTTGATTTTCATGTTCATGTGGCTATGCATAATATATTATTTTAATTTAACTTTTCTTTATCTTATAACCTAATTAGAGCTGGCTATTAAATTAGGAACATATTTACTAGAATCTCTTTATGGCTGTTGGTAAACTAACCAGCTTGGCACCCATTAGATTTCTTTTCACGAGTACTGTTCGCAAAAGATGCGCTTTTAGTCCTTAAACAGTTGAATCGAGAAACTATATTTTATCAGCTCTTACATTCGCGAACTCCGACTGACATAAATCACTAAGCTTTGTTAATTTCGATCAATAAATTCCATCAAACTTTTGACGGCGCTAAGAATTTCCTTGCAAGTCTCCATAATTTGGTCTTTGGGTAGTTTGAATCGGTATTTTTTGCTCCTCAATTCAATCATGTACGAATATGGGATCTTTGCAATCGCGTAACTCCAGTCTGTACTAGTGCCGCATGCATAGTATGTCATGTCCTTTGTGCTCCCTACTTTGTAAGTCACACCGCTGCTTTCAAATATTGCCTGTAATCAAGTTGTTACTACATTAGTTAGTCGTGATTCTATTTCATCATAGTTATGCACGGCTATACAACTCTAACCCCTTTAAGCAGCTGCCATTTCTCAATCGCCCTTCCACCAATATTCCTATCTACCCACGAATTCTTCAATTCTAAGGGATTTTTATACTAGTGGGAAGCATTCGGGCTTTCCAGTCCGAGGGTTTGGGCAGCCGTTGTATAAATTGATGTTTAAATCTTGCATTTTGAGGTAGATATTGGCATCTATGGTATTTTGTCTATGAGCTTCAGTAAGCCGTATAAGGAGACTCCGTCAATCCGCAATAAGCCCTCTTTGATTTGATGCACATTAAAAAGAAAGATTCGTTTTTGTTTCACAGTTCTAACGGGAATAGACGATGTTAATTGACCATACGATTTTATTTTTCTTACGTGAACTTATGTACCCTTGCCATTACTGCGCCGCCTTCTAATAGTTTTAAGTAGTCCGGACACGGTTCTCTTTTGTAGCCCCATGGAAATATAATCAGTTCATAATAACTATGAAACGATAGGAATGCTTTAAATATAACTGTGGATCCCAATATTGTATCCTGAAAAAAAAAGTAGATATATCCAGATTGATTTCTGTGTACTGTGATATAAATAAGATGAATTCTTTATTTAGGTTTTGCCTTTGACGTCATTCGTCTCATTTAGGGTGGAATTGTGTTTGGTTATTTTTTTATAGAGAGTCATCTAGCGGAGTGCGTATCTTATATAGCCAAATCTGATATAAATATTACTATAATCTCAATACATACTCTTACAGCTATCGCTTCAGGTTCAGAGAATGGCATTGGTCCTCTATAAAATACACTGCTCGGCTCCTCTGAAGAACCTTCGTCACCGTTGTTACCCCAACCGCAGCTGGAATGTATTTCAGAAGTTTTTAGTACAACTTAAAGTTCACGAAGCGCTCGTAATACTGATATTCATTTTATTTCTTCATTCACATACATTTCAATTAATTTTAAATTTAATAACGAATATGAGGTATGTTATACTGCTATGGATGGATATAAGCTTAAATGGCAGCATATGGTATATCCAAGTCATATAATAACTGCGTACATTGTTCAAACTGGGTGTACCGCAGAAGAAAAGGAGGCATTCCTAGATAATTTTGTGAATAGTATTCCATTTAGTGAGACAAAACTTATCTGTAGCGATCTTAATAGACTTGTAGAGGAATAAAATCCAATTATAAGGAATAATATCCAAAATATATCCAATTCCAATTATAAGAATGTACACGGATGTTTCAATTATGGGAATAAAATATAGAGTTTGGATTTAAAATTAAGCAAATATATAAAGAATAGTACATTGTGCCCCAAGGGAGAAAAGTAGGACATTTCCTCTCGCGTGTAAATGGCAAACACGCGGGATGAGATGTCTAACTTTTTTCCCGCGGTGCACATACTATTTTTTCTCCTATCAGGCCGAAAGTTCGTGGAGTATCGAGCCAGGGTTCAGGGGCGAAGCCCTGGCAGGGGGTAGAGGGGGCGGAGCCCCCCCTTTCTAGTAAAAAAACAATTTAACTGCTTTTTTTATTTTTAAATAATTTCTTACTAATTGAATAAGAACTGTCTGATGAACTCATCTTTGTACTTAATACTTCACTATTAAATTTTATTGCATTTTGTTTATTTCACTTTTACATTAAACACAATATTGCAAACTACCCTAGCACAACAATGGCGGAGAATTTTAACAGTAACATGCGCACTTGTCAGTACCCAGGGAGGAAAAGTTACACTTTCTTCCCTGTACAGCGGGAGGAAAACCGAACTTTCGGCGTAAGTAGGAGAAAAAAACATTTCACTAAATTCAAATAAAAGTATAAACAGAAGGTGGCAAGAATACTATGCATTACTTTTAAACAAAGAGTTTTCAAGTAAAAATCTGCCATCACTCCAATTATGGATAATGCGGAGGGACGATGACTACCCCGTTTGTCGGGTACTGTATCTGCCCAAAGACGGCGCCTCGGGGAGGACAAATATACACCAAACACTCAACCAAGGCCCAACCTGTCAGTGTGACAGTTCAGGATAGAAATTACTAGCTTAGATGAATTAAGAGTGCCAACCCTGCCTAAAGTGAGATAAGGCAAACAAGGATAGATAGTATATCCAACTCACAACCACTGAAGGTTGTTTTGAACTCTTGTTTGACGAAGGACATAGCGCCCAGTAAGCACCACGAAGGGAAGTTCATTCCAGAGCCAAATGACTCATACGAATAATGATATGTTGAGGACCAAAGCACCCGATTTAGGTACTTGGGTGAACTTTACCCCGGCCATGGGCGGTGCAACGATAAAACGAGAGAACAAGGTCATGTCTGAAAATTCCTTAGGGCACTTCTTTTTGAAAATTCAGCACCAAGCATAAGTAAGTAAGTACATAGTAATTCACCTAAAATTTCGATTTAAATCAACACCAACGCGCTCTCCGTCATGTTTCGCTCGGTTTTTCCTCCACATTCGGTCATGCGTATGGGTATATTCATAGCCATCTGGATTTAATATGGGTACAATATGCCTGGAAGCGAAACAAAATCATCTCAACATATTTTTCTGTAAAAGACAGCTTTTAATTCAGTAATGGCAACCGAATGCGAAATATAAAACCATTTTATAAGTTATTATATACTTTTGAACTATATTTGCCCCGCGTTGCCCCTCGGTAAATTCAGACATTATGCATGCATCGACGATTAATAATTATAATTACCCTATAATAGCAGTTATAAGATATCTCGATTTGTAGCTCCGTTCATAATATAGTTGTAATATAATACAGAAATTCATAATATATGTAGTAGTATAATATAGTTCATAATAACAAAGTCATACGTATAAATACACAAGGTAACACAAATCGGATTCAGCCGTGTTCTGTGATAGATATTTTTTCCTATTTTTCCTATTTTTTTTAAATATTTTATTAGAGCGGTTACGTTTCCTACTAAAAATCAATGACAATAGCCCTACTTCTAGTTGGAGTACAAACCAATCCTTATTAGTAATAGAAGTAGGTAGACTGTGAAAGTTTCTTGCAATGTAATCAGCTATGTAAGTTACAACTGCCGTGCTTATCCATTCACGAGAGTGTATCGACGCGTCGAGCCATATAGCTGAGTTACGGGCGTCGCTGTTTGATATCTTTAGCATCTGGAAATATTTTTTAGAGAAAGAAAGAGTTACTAAGAATCGTCCAGTAGTTTGAAAATGATTTCTCCACTTGAATACCACTACCCACGCTGAAATAAGAGATAAAAATTTTAATTGTATCGGAATACGGCTATTTCAGCCTTCAAATGCACCGTCTTAACTTTTAAAGTCGGAAACAGGTTGATTTGTGTTATTCATCGTACAGGCTTACAGTGCGCCCCACGAGTAAATCTTATAAAAATAAAAGACTATCATTTTTGGTTCAGCTTTTTCCAGTCCCGGGGAAATCATATATTCTTATTTGAATGACCGTATACACGTAACTTTTATCTATTGAAATTGAAATTTCGACTCAATTTCATAAGTCGTGTGACTGTGTCGGCTCGAATTACTGTCAACACCAGTTCTTCTGCTCGTCTGCTGCTTTAAGTGCTACCACATTAATAACGAGTTTCATAGCAGAAATGTTAGAACAAGAATTGCTTTCAGAATACATACGAGATGCAGAGTCTACTACGACCTCCTGAATTGTGAATGGTCGTTCACGGATATCGACAATATCAAGGGCAAAGCAAGTCCGCTCTCGCACCCTGACTCGATCATTGCCCAAACACAATTTTGGCGTGAACGGTGTTCTGGATAACCGAATTTCGGCTGTACTGTTTAAAATAAAATTATCTGATAACAAACCTTAATATCGCGACCCTCGACCGATTGCCCAATGACAGAGACAGTGCAAATGGCCGGGTAATCCCTCTCCAATTCATCTATAAACGCGTAAATCACGTTCAGTCTGTGGTATTTCTTCCAATTCATTAATTTTACTGAAAACTTATACTGATTTATTTGGAGCTTTCATTGCAATCAACGTGTTATAAAGTTAGGTTACGGTTTAAGCACATTGCTTTATGCAAGTATAATGCATTTCAATATAATACGTTAATATATTGGTTCATTCAAGTTTATGAGCTGAAGTTTAGTTTAATAATATTCTAAAGGAACGAACAGTTTTCATGAAATAAATTATTGCGAAAACTAAATTGTTGAAAAAATTTAATGTTCTAACTTCAATAGATGGTACCCCAAACTAAGAACATTTCTTCATATTATTATCTTGTGGGTGCTGGAATCATGCACAAAAGCCCACTGAGTTTCTCGCTGGATCTTCTCAGTGGGTCGCGTTTCCGATCCGGTGGTAGATTCAGCGAAGCACTGCTCTTGCTAGGGCCAGTGTTAGCAACATTCCCGGTTTGAACCCCGTGAGTTCACCTACACGTCAAGGAGAAGCTGAAATAGCTTCTCAAGGCTATCAGCATAGGTAGGATAAAAAAAAACATGCACAAATGCAACCTAGACTAGTGTGGACTTTGTAGTTCATTAGCTAACGGTCAATAATCGCCACATGGCAGCACTGCAGAGGTGATGGATATTGAAAAATAAAAAGATTGGTGACAAATTGTCAGGTCTACCTTTTCTTTTGTTTGGTTTATTCGTTGGAACAATTTGTTTTAATCCTCTTGGTATAACTGTGCCTGGTTTTGCTGTAAGCGAAAAGATTTCGGCAACTTCGTAATTAGCATTGAACTATTATTAGTCTATTTTGGTAGGAAAGGAGCGGAATCTGATTATAAGCCATGGTGAACAAATTAGATTGCTTATTTGTTGACATATATGTTCACTTGGATTGTTGTAAATTACTGGTTCCTTGGGACTGTAACACGATAATTTATAATCAAGATATGAGGCCGGAGTCTCTTTAACATAAACATGAAAAATCTGAAGCAAGTATAGACCGAATCTATATCTGAACTCACAACCCACGTTTGATTAGCCGTGTTCCTTTATCGTGAAAGTCATTCGTGATATGTGGGTATATAGGTATGTACCAGAAGATTTAAACGCCGATGTATTCCCGTCTCTGAATACGAATATATTGGGCCGATTACCAACTAAGCCTGAACTAACCTAACTGGGCTAAAGTGCCTAGATGGCTAATTGTTATCTATCCAAGAGTAATATTCCTTACTTTTCTTTCCGAACTTAGTTTGAGTACCGTTTTCAGTCCATATAGTGGAATTGGATTCCAAATCTTCTTCATCGTGTTCGGAAATAACGTTTGTCTTTCGCAAAACTTTTGATAATTTTGTAGCACTCGTCGTTGAGATTGTATTCATTGTTGAGGATTTTAGTCGATTGTGTTTAAGGATTAGTTTTTTTAGATTCAACACTAGACTAGAATGTATTTAAATTTAAGTATATTACGAGAATTTTGATTTCATTAAAAATATGACAAGTGTGATTTTATAATTGAATAAAAACTAAGTGATTACGTTCTCTTTGGTTGATTATTTGGTGGTTGTCAATTTTTCGACATTAGAGTCAAAAAGTTTATATACATTTTTTTTACTTTTTTAAAATTTTATATTGATCTCGCATTCACGGGTTCCTTGATTATAATTATCCAGAATCGGTTCTGTTGTATGAACAAATCATTACTTTATTTTGGTTCGTTCCTGTAACATAGAGTATTTCATTCATTTCCTCCTGAACTATGTAGGTAACAAAGTCTGCGAGAAATTCCCGTTAATATTGCCCAATTACGTAAATTCGAAAACGTCCAACATCAGTGACATTTAGTAGTGAACGAATTCGACTTTTGGATTAGAAAACCGCCGACTGGAAAACTCCGCGAACGTTCGTTCTCGCCACAGTGCGGTCTGCCAATCACACGAGCGACGCAGCTATGTCGGGACATATAATCGGTATTCTGCTTATTCTAAAACAAGTGCAAAAAAAAACTAAAAAAAAAAAAAACGGTTGTCTGTAAAGTCGGTTTACTGACGATAGTTGAACGTGACAACGTCATAAGAAAATACTGATGGCATGGTTTCATTTTTCAATTATCGTAATTATCGTTGCTATAAACAATTGACACCACTTTCACTTTTCACTGAACTTCATACTTGACGCAAACATGTAAATGTATTATTGTATAGCAGCTGTCCACGCGTATGCATCGCTCACTCAAGTAGGAGAGAGACAGATGTCGAACGCTGCCGAACGCGGAGGCCGATTGTGCCTCTTTGTCGCTCGTTGCGCGCTCTCGCTTGCACTTCAAGCCTTAAATGGAACGCCTCAGAACGAGGTAACGCCGCATGAGTTTTGTTTTTTCGTGCGTGCAGCCGGCTCCATCGAATTATAAGACATTGTTACGTCAAAAAAAACTTTTTCTGATTTCAAAATTAGAAGATCCGAGTTAACAAGGAAATCGATTTCATTGAAACTTAAGTAAAGACATATTGTGCTACTTCTTATGTTATCTACTGTTCGATATTTTTATTGCAGATACTTGCAGGTGTTCTTTAATACCATAACTGAGATGAAGATTCTATTGCAACGATAGCTCATATGACTAACAAAGTTCATACAGTTAAAACCTTAAAAATCGCGGGGTTCCCAGTCTCGACCTTACGTCATCTTGGAATATAAGTGCATTTGTATTATTGGACATAGACAGGTGATGGATCTAGCTAGAGAGAGAGCTCATGGCTTTTCTGTTGTGATTACCGGTGCCAATAGAAATCACGACGTAAAATCCGCTTATTTCACTAATATTCCTTAGGAAGTTTTAAGACGTTTGTCTCAATGGTAGCTGGCTGTTTTTGAAAACGGAACGTTGGTTGCTTGCGTTAACTATAAGCAAGAAAAAAGTAAGTAAGCGCTTAGTCACCAAATTGTTGTTGTTGTTGTTGTTTTTATTGCTTTGATGGATGGACAAGCTCACAGCTCACCTAATGTTAAGCGGTTACTGGAGCCCATAAACATCTACAACGTAAATGCGTCACCCACCTTGAGATATAAGTTCTAAGGTCTCAGTATAATTACAACGGCTGCCCCACCCTTCAAACCGAAACGCATTACTGCTTCGCGGCAGAAATAGGCAGGGTGGTGGTACCTTCCCGCGCGGACTTACAAGAGGTCCTACCACCAGTAAGCTAAATACGCTTCACATTATAATAAGAATGGATTTAATCTGATCTCTCATGGAAATTCATTCTTTGTACATAGCATCTTCTTGTTTAACTAATACGAAACTTTTACGAACGAGAAATGGCTGGCTGACTATGTTCTGAATTAGTGTTGCAACAAGAATACGGCTCCGTAACTTTTAGTGCGCGGTTGTAGTCGGAGAACGAATTACAGAAGTCGCTGATCGTGTCCAAACGAGATTGATTGTAACGGACATGCCGGGAAGTTGTCTTTTGAAAACTCCACTGAAACTAGTAAAACAAATATGGCTTTTTTGTCTGGTCAGATAAAGTATATTGGACATAAAAATATTTATTGCTTAGATGGACGGGTGAGCCCCCGGCTCACCTGGTGTTAAATTGTCACTAGAGTCCATAGACCCAAATTCCGCCACCCACATTTTTATATAATTTTTTTTTGTTGCTTAGATGAGTGGACGAGCTCACAGCCCACCTGGTGTTAAGTGGTCACTGGAGCCCATGGAAATCTACTACGTAAATGCACCACCCACCTTGAGATATAAGTTCTAAGGTCTCAGTATAGTTACAACGGCTGCCCCACCCTTCAAACCGAAACGCATTACTGCTTCACGGCAGAAATAGCAGGGTGGTGGTACTTAGCCGTACGGACTCACAAGAGGTCCTACCGCCAGTAATTACGCAAATTATAATTTTGCGGGTTTAATTTTTATTACATGACTGAGAGTTCCATACAACTCAGAGACATATTATTATCTCGATTTTTACAGTATATTTTTCATCAATGTTTTAGCACCATTCACCGTTTTTTTTACGTTATGTGATAAAGTTATACTGATTTACACGTATGTAATAGTATTTTTTAATTAAAATAAATAAGAAGTTTCCTGATATAGATTCTCGGTTTTTAAAAAAATTACTTCCCGACCAACCAACTCAATCAGTGTTGATAAAAACGTGATCTGGAACATTACGTAGTTCACGTATTAAAAATGCTAGCAAAACTACTGTTATTGTTGAGATGGGCTAATTCACGCCTTCAGAACATATCGTTTTCCGCTCGTAAAAAATAGAAAAAAAAAAAAACATGAATGATGAAATGATTTTTACTTCTGATATTCCAGAACCTTCGCTGGCTATTAATATGGAAACGACATGGAATTAGAGTTTTAATGCAGGCGACAAGTTCGGTAACGCTATTCGCCCGATGAGGTCGTGTGATAATTAACGAGATTGCGACAAGACGCGTTCCGACGCCCGCCTAATTGAAATGTACGACGTCTTTAGCGTTCAGTGCTCGCTCGCACTTATTGCTTTTGGTGTACACTAAAGAAAGTTACTAGCGGAAATTTTGTTCAAATAACCCTGCTGAATTTTTCGTTAGTAACAAACTACAAATTTTTTTATTGAGATAACCAAATTTCGTTAAATTTAAATTTCATTATCTAAAACTAATCTGAAATCCTCTCAATTTCAGTTATTTGCAATTAATAATCTTCACTATTTAATATTATAAAGTGGAAATATTTGTTTGTTTGTTTGTTTGTATTGAATAGGCTCCGAAACTACTGAACCGATTTCAAAAATTCTTTCACTGTTTGGAAGCTACACTATTCCCGAGTGACATAGGCTATAATCTTTTTTGAAAAAAATTAGGGATCCTTACTAAAACTCCAATAATATAACCTAAGGTGTAAAAAAATTACCCAAGATATTCTTTACATCGCGTGCTCTGCGAAAACTATTGATGATAGAATAAAATAATGTACTACGACTTTATAGAACACATTATTATTTACAAAAAGGATCGTGACAACATGTAAAAAAAATAAAACAGCGTCAAATATCGTTGAAATTTTTCTTAAAGACCCGAGCGGAGCCGGAGCGGACCGCTTGTGTATGATAAAATAATAAATACCGCGATGATAATATTTGGGCGATATTTAATTGGCGTGAGTTTGAAATTGGAATACGTCCTTCCTTCCTGTTTAATTCTATAATCCCCGACATGACTGAACGATGCCTTGAAGGCACCAAGCCTGCGTTCTGTTTAATGCGAGCCCCCGCTCGTGTAAACAAGGCTTTTGTTGGCTTCCGACGCCGTCGGCTACATCACTGCCATTTGTCGGGTATAGAACAGGGTGAAAGTAAAAGGGGATAGGTAACGATTTATCGTCTAAAATCGGTATGATGACGATTTTGTAACACACAAAGTTAAGAAAAATTGCGTATATGTCGGTAATTTTGTAGTCGTCGTGGCCTAACGGATAAGACGTCCGGTGCATTCGTGTTGAAGCGATGCACCGGTGTTCGTATCCCGCAGGCGGGTACCAATTTTTCTAATGAAATACGTACTCAACAAATGTTCACGATTGACTTCCACGGTGAAGGAATAACATCGTGTAATAAAAGTGAAACCCGCAAAATTATAATTTGCGTAATTACTGGTGGTAGGACCTCTTGTGAGTCCGCGCGGTTGGGTACCACCACCCTGCCTATTTCTGCCGTGAAGCAGTAATGCGTTTCGGTTTGAAGGGTGGGGCAGCCGTTATAACTATACTTGAGGCCTTAGAACTTGTATCTCAAGGTGGGTGGCGCATTTACGTTGCAGATGTCTATGGGCTCCAGTAACCACTTAACACCAGGTGGGCTGTGAGCTCGTCCACCCATCTAAGCAATAAAAAAAAAAAAATTGATCAGCTTGTAAACCTGCACGTGTAGCTATAATCACCCTGTATACGAGTATATCTACAGCAACAGTAATTTGTTTCGGTTTGAAATATGGAGTAGACGTTCGCTGTAAGGCACAATCCGAACTTTTGTCGATGTTCACTGAAAATTAGTGGTAACAGCTATCTTTCGGTGTCTCTGAGTTCTGATAACCACTGAAAATCATTCGAGGCGTGAGCTTATCTGATTGTCACGACTAGTGATAAAAAGTTCTTATAAAATCGAAGGTACCCGATACCGAATTATAATTCGGTCATGAAAGCATTCGTGCATCGGGTCGAGTTTTAAGCTCTGAGTGCAGTTAATAAATTTGCCGTTGACAGCGAAGTCTTAAAATTTCATTAAAGTTAATAAATACCCTTGGTGAGTTGTTTTAGAACTCATAATACAAACAAATTTTGCCTAATGACAATATTGTTCTAAGCAATTCCTTACGT